ATTCTATTGGAAAATATGATATTGATCAAAACATAATGAATGATATAAAATTTGAAAAATCTAATTGTTATGAAATTAATTTTTAAAGCACTTACTGGTTCTTGTGTAATATGTGTGTAATAATCCTGAAGACCGTTCCAATAACCAAAATGTGATTCAAATCCACGATACGTTGGCGTGTATTCTTTCCTGAAATATCCTAGATGCCACTTTCCCACAGCATGTGTTCTATAGCCTATTTCTTTCAAGTACTGAAATGAAGATTGATTTGGATAGAAAGCAGATGAATATTTTATTCAGTTTGTATTCAGTACAATTTTAAAGCTTTATAATAGAATAGAGTGTAATTAATTAATTAAACTAATAGATAATAATTTTTGTTCTCAAAATTGTTGTTTACAAAAGTGTTAGAGTTTATACAAAAAGATATTTTGTATAAATAATGCTAATCAAAATAATTTTCCAGAACAGCAAATGCTTTTTATTTGCTTGTAACAAGAAATATTTGTTGATTCAACGATACTAGTAAAGTTGTTATATCAAAAGACGATAATAATGAGTTAACGAAAAGTATAAGTCTAATACATGTTCATTTATACTGATTTTTGAATTGATGAAAACAAGAGAATAAAAGTCATCCAAAGTTTGTTAGAACGCATTAAAGCTTGAAAGAATCGTAGAGTTAATATTAGTACTTATTATTATTATTAATGTACTGATGTTCGAAGCTTTCATTACAAAAAAAAAAAATTGTGTAAAACTGAATCAATGAATATTTCATGTTACAATCAAAAAGAAAACATTCGAAATATTAAAAAATTGTTTACATTAAATTTAATTATTTAAAAAGTTTCTATTACGTTCTTAATATATAATATAAGTATATATAAATATAAGACTATATATATATATATATAAAATATAATATAATATAATATAAATATAAAACTGTATATCTTACACTGGAAGTATGTTTTTTTTATAAGTGTACTGAATTATTTTTCATGAGAAATATTTATTTACTATATTCAGTAATATATATAATTTTTTAATAATTAGAAAATCAATTAGTTAAGTTAAATTTTAATAAAAAAAATCGATGTTTTTAAATACATTATTTTATGTATTCGTAAAGGTTTAGAGATTTATAATAAAATTTTATAAATCATATTATTCATTATTATTTGTAATAAAATACTATAATAATATTAAAAATATAATAATAATAATAATATAAATTATAGTATTAAAAATACTATAATAATATAAAATACTATATAATACTTTGTAATAAATAAAATACTTGGATCGCTTTTTTCATTTAATGTATAAATAATTTCAAAATTATAAATAATTTTCTTCTTTCATTAAATTTAATTTTCAATCCCTGTTTCTTCAATTAATATAAATAATCTTCTTCGTTAAAAAGAAAGTTCAGTTTGAACTTACATTTATGTATGTGTGCTTAAAAACATGTGCTATATACAACATAATATTGATAATGTGGAGAAAATCGAAATAATATTTCATTATAACTAATTGTGATTTAATTTAAGATATTCTTATTGCAAAAAGTATTTATTCGAAATTACAATGTAATTAAATACATCCATACTAATTAATCTACAAATTTAATTAAGAAATATAAAAATCATTGGACACTGAGAGTGCAAGATTGGATTATATCTGCATGATACATCAAAAGATTGAAAAATTAGTTTAAAAAATTTGGAAATATTTATATGTTACGAGAAATTTGTAAAAAAGAATTTAAAATATTTAAAATAGAGTTTAAAATATTTAAAAAAGAATTTAAAATATTTTAAATAAGTACAGTTAAATATCTTGAAGCATTTCCGATGTTTTGCTAACAATTATTATAATATTATAATATATTATATTAAATGCATTTTATTATGAAGATAAAAGTAAAGAAAATTCACGTAACGTAGTTCGTGCAGAAACCTACCTCGGGTAATAGTTTTTCGCTTAGAGGAAGCCCTCGTGGTTCTGCTGGGAAGAGAACAGAGTGTTGCATACCCAGATGAATCGGATTTTTCCCAGTCATTAAAGAGGATCTGCTCGGCGTGCACAATGCGGGAACGTAATGATTATTTAAGATAATGCCATTGTATGCAAGAGCGTCGATGTTCGGTGTAGGGATTTGATCCGATCCGTGAAAGCTTACATCGTTCCATCCCTATGCAGCGGTTTTAAATAAATATCATTCAAACATTCAAACTTTCAAATAATCGGGGAGATGAATATTGTTATTGTCTTTTATTTTTACTATATCTTACTTTTTTTATAATATTAGAGCAGTCAACAGATCAATATAATTAAAATGGCATGGTAAAAATAAATATTTACGTGTTTTTTTATCAATAAAAATCAATGCCAATTTTACGAAAATAGTTAATTTTATGTATTCTTATTTACCACAAAAAAAAAATCTGAAATCCGTTAGTTTATATTTTTTTTACATTTATACTTTTATTTTTAGAATATTTTTCTTTTTATTTTTGTTCTTTATTGGAAAGAGCGATAGATGATATTTTAGGATCTCTCGGGCTTAGGCAGGAGATTATCTAATCAATGACACAATGGATCCATCAAATGGCATTAGCTATGCATTTTTTGTAATTGAATTGTTGTTTATATAAGAGAACGGTATTTTGTATTTTTAGCGATTTTTAATCGTCAGGGAGCAAAAAGCATGCAAATTTTGTTCCATTGACTTGGAAAAAGTCCCTCTGAAGTATTATAAATGATTCAGATAGTTTTTTAAATGGTTTAAAAGTGGATGAATTTCGATTAAGGTCTGTTATGGTTA